GGGACTGGTAAATATCTTTTCCCAATCTGTTGGTTGCCGTTTTGTCCTACTAAGAGTGTCCTTTGCATTACAGAAACCTTGCAATTTTATGAAGTCCCATTTGTCAGTTCTTGATTTTAGAGCATAAGCCATTGGTGTTCTGTTTAGGAACTTTCCCACTATGCCCAAGTATTCAAGGTTCTTCCCCACCTTCTCTTCTATTAGTTTCAGTGCATCTGGTTTTATGTGAAGGTCCTTTATCCATTTGGACTTGAGCTTTGTACAAGGACATAAGAATGGATAGATTTGCATTCTTCTATTGCCCTACAGTTGAACCAGCACTATTTGTTGAAAATGCTGTCCTTTTTCAACTGGACAGTTTTAGCTCCTTTGTCAAAGGTCAAGTGACCATAGGTGTGTGGGTTCATTTCTGGGTCTTCAATTCTATTTCATTGCTCTTCCTGCCTGTCTCTGTACCAATACCATTCAGTTTTTTATCACTATTGCTCTGTAGTACAGCTTGAGGTCAGGGATGGTGATTCCGCCAGAACACCTTCTATTGTTGAGAATAGTTTTTGTTATCCTGGGTTTTTTTTTTTTTTATTCCAAATAAATTTGAGAATTTCTCTTTCTAACTCTAAAGAACTGAGTTGGGATTTTAATGGGGATTGCACTGAATCTGTAGATTGCTTTTGGCAAGATGGCCATTTTTACTATATTAATCCTGCCAATCCATGAGCATGGGAGATCCTTCCATCTTCTGAGATCTTCTTGGATTTCTTTCTTCAGAGACTTGAAGTTCTTATTATACACACCAAGGCATTTTATATTATTTGTGACTATTCTGAAGGGTGTCATTTCCCTAATATTTTTCTCAGCCTGTTTATCTTTCACACAGAGGAAGGCTACTGATTTTTTTGAGTTGATTTTATTACCCGACACTTTGCTGAAGTTCTTTATCAGGTTTAGGAGTTCTCTGGCGGAAGTTCTGGGGTCACTTAAGTATACTATCATATCATCTGCAAATAGTGATATTTTGACTTCTTCTTTTCCTATTTGTATTCCTTTGACTTCTTTTTCATGTCTACTTGCTCTGGCTAGGACTTCCAGTACTATATTGAATAGGTAGGAGGAGAGTGGGCAGCCTTGTCTAGTCCCTGATCTTAGTGGGATTGCTTCAAGTTTCTCTCCATTTAGCTTGATGTTGGCTACTGGTTTGCTGTATATTGCTTTTACTATGTTTAGGTATGGGCCTTGAATTTCTGATCTTTCCAAGACTTTTACCATAAAAGGATGTTGAATTTTGTCAAATGCTTTCTCACCATCTAGTGAGATATCATGTGTTTTTTTTTCCTTTGAGTTTCTTTATAGAGTGGATTATATTAATGGATTTCTGGATTTCTGAATATTGAACCATCCCTGCATTTCTAGGATAAAGCCTACTTGATCATGATGGATGATTGTTTTGATGTTCTTGGATTCGGTTTACGAAAATTTTATTAAGCATTTTTGCATCGATATTCATAAGGGAGATTGGTCTGAAGTGCTCTTTCTTTGCTGGGTCTTTGTGAGGTTTAGGTGTGAGAGTGACTATGGCTTCATAGGACGAATTGGGTAGTGTTTCTTCTGTTTCTATTTTGCAGAATATTTTAAAGAGAATTGGTATTAGGTCTTCCTTGAAGGTCTGATAAAGTTCTGCAGTAAAACCATCTGGTCCTGGGCTTTTTTGGTGGGGAGACTTTTAATGACTGCTGCTATTTGTTTAGGGGTTATGGGACTGTTTAGATGGTTTATCTGCTCCTGATTTAACTTTGGTACCTGGTATCTGTCTAGAAAATTGTCCATTTCATCCAGATTTTCCAGTTTTGTTGAGTATAAGATTTTGTAGTAGGATGTGATGAGTTTTTGAATTTCCTCAGTTTCTGTTGTTATATTTCCCTTTTCAGTTCTAATTTTATTAATTTTGATACTGTCTCTGTGCCCTCTGGTTAGTATAGCTAAGGCTTTATCTATCTTTTTGATTTTCTCAAAGAACCAGCTCCTGGTTTTGTTGATACTTTGTATAGCTTTTTTTGTTGTTGTTGTTTCTACTGGTTGATTTCAGCCCTGAGTTTTATTATTTCCTGCTGTCTACTCCTCTTGGGTGTATTTGCTTGCTTTTGTTCTAGAGCTTTCAAGTGTGTTGTCCTGTTGCTAGTGTATGTTCTCTCCAGTTTCTTTTTGTAGACATTTAAAGCTATGAGTTTTCTCCCTAGCACTGCTTTCATTGTGTCCCATAAGTTTTGGTATGATGAGCCTTCATTTTCATTAAATTCTAAAGTCTTTAATTTCTTTATTTCTTCCTGACCAAGTCATCATTGAGTAGACCCTTCTTCAGTTTCCACGTGTATGTGGACTTTCCATTGTTTTTGTTATTACTGAAGGCCAGCCTTAGTCCCGTGGTGACCTCATGGGATACAAGAGAATATGTCAATATTTTGTCTGTTGAGTCCTGCTTTGTGACCAATTATATGGTCTATTTTGGAGAAGGTACCATGAGGTGCTGAGAAAAGGGTATATTCTTTTGTTCTATAGATATCTGTTAAATCGATTTGGTTCATAACTTCCATTAATTCCACTGTGTCTCTGTTTAGCTTCTGTTTCTATGATCTGTCCATTGCTGAGAGTGGGATGTTGAAATCCCCCACTATTATTGTGTGAGGTACAATGTGTTCTTTTAGGTTTAGTAAAATTTCTTATATGAATGTGGGTGCCCATGCATTTGGAGCATAGATGTTCAGAATTGAGAGTTCATCTTGGTAGATTTTTCCCTTTTTTTTTTTTTTGGTTTTTCAAGACAGGGTTTCTCTGTGTAGCCCTGGCTGTCCTGGAACTCACTCTGTAGACCAGGCTGGCCTCGAACTCAGAAATCCGCCTGCCACTGCCTCCCAAGTGCTGGGATTAAAGGCGTGCGCCATCACTGCCCAGCTGATTTTTCCTTTGACAAGTATGAAGTGTTCTTCCTTATTTTTTTGATAACTTTTAGTTGAAAGTCGATTTTATTCGAAATTAGAATGGCTACTCCAGCTGTTTCTTGAGATCATTTGCTTGGAAAATTGTTTTCCAGTCCTTTAATCTGAGTTAGTGTCTATCTTTGCCACTGAGGTGCGTTTCTTGTATGCAGCAAAATTCTGGGTCCTGTTTATGTATCCAGTCTGTTATTCTACGTCTTTTTATTGGGGAATTGAGTCTATTGATGTTAAAGGATATTAAGGAAAAGTGATTGTTTCTTCCTGTTATTTTAGTTATTAGGGGTGTAATTATGTTTGTGTAGCTATCTTCTTTTGGGTTTGTTGGAGAATTACTTTCTTGCTTTTTCTATGCTGTAGTTTCGCTTCTTGTGTTAGAGTTTTCCATCAATTATCCTTTGAAGTGCTGGGTTTGTGGGAAGATATTGTGCAAATTTGGTTTTGTCATGGAATATCTTGGTTTCACCATCTATAGTGATTGAGAGTTTTGCTGGGTATAGTAGTCTGGACTAGCATTTGTGTTCTCTTAGGGTCTGCATGATATCACTCCAGGATCTTCTGGCTTTTATAGTCTCTGGTGAGAAGTCTGGTGTAATTCTTACAGGTCTGCCATTATATGTTACTTGACCTTTTCCCCTTACTGCTTTTAGTATTTTTTCTTTGTTTTGTGCATTTGATGTTTTGATTATTATGTGACAGGAGGAATTTCTTTTCTGTTCTAGTCTATTTGGAGTTCTGTAGGCTTCTTGTATGTTCATTGGCATCTCTTTCTTTAGGTTAGGGAAGTTTCCCTCTATAATTTTGTTGAAGATATTTACTGGCTCTGTAAGTTGGGAATCTTCATTCTCATCTATATCTATTATCCTTAGGTTTGGTCTTCTCATTGTGTCCTGGATTTCCTGGATGTTTTGGGTTAGGAGCTTTTTGCATTTTGCATTTTCTTTGACAATTGTGTCAATGTTTTCCATGGTATCTTCTGCACATGAGATTCTCTCTTCTATCTCTTGTATTCTGTTGGTGATGCTTGCATCTATGACTCCTGATTTCTTTCCTAGATTTTCTATCTCCATGGTAGTCTCCCTTTGAGATTTCTTTATTGTTTCTACTTCTACTTTTAGATCCTGGATGGGTTTGTTTAATTCCTTCACCTGTTTGGTTGTGTTTTCTTGCAATTCTTTAAGGGATTTTTGTGTTTCCTCTTTAAGGGCTTCTACCTGTTTACCTGTGTTCTCCTGTAATTCTTTAAGAGAGTTGTTTATGTCCTTCTTAAAGTCCTCTATCATCCTCATGAGAAGTGATTTTAATTCTGAATCCTGCTTTTCTGGTGTGATGGGGTGTCCAGGACTTGCTGTTGTAGAAGAACTGGGTTCTGATGATGCCAAGTAACTTTGGTTTCTGTTGCTTATATTCTTGCGCTTTCCTTTCGCCATCTGGTTAACTCTAGTGCTACCTGCACTCACTGTCTCTGACTAGAGACTGTCTTTCCAGTTATCTTGCTTTTGTCAGGACTCCTCAGAGTCCAGATGTCTCTGTGATCCTTTTGTCAGAACTCTTCGGAGTCCAGACGTCTCTGTGATCCTGTGATCCTGAGCTCCTGGGTGGAAGAGCTCATGGGACTCTGGCCTCCTCTGAGATCCTGAAATCCTGCTGTTCTGAGTGCAATGGTTCCTCAGCTGCTCTAAGTGCAGTGGTTCCACCACTGCTCTGCTGTTCTAGGAAGGTTCAGGATATGGTGTCTTCATGAAACAGACCTGCCAGGTGTCTACCCCAGCCAAAAAGGCTTACTCACTCTTAATAATCTCCATTTACAAGCAACCTCACAGTAGCACAAAGTGTGCAATGCAATTCATGATTTGAAAAAGAGAAAATTTGATTCAGAGTGAATTGAAGACACTATATTTTTCAGGTCAGATAAAAGTAAATTTAAAAAAAGGAGAGAGAGAAGTAGGTTTTAAAAACAACAAAAATGTGTTACACTGAGAAAAAAAGAATCCAGTGACTAGGAGGTAGTACCTGCAGGAAAGGTGGCCCAGGGGACAGCAGGGGACACTGCTTGGTTTCCGCCTTGCTCACCATCAAAGGTCTCTGCGGCCTGGAAGACAAGGCAAGATGACCTGAAAAGACCCAAAGAGCTGAACTTTGCACAACTTGTCATACACTCAGTCCCGCAGGCACTCCTGTGACTTTGTACAAGTTGTCACACACTTAGCCCCACAGGCACTCCTGTGCCATGCCTCTCACTCACACTCTCTCTGAACAGCCCACTGCCATCCATGCCCACTGCCCACCCCTGCACTGTCCTCAGCTGACAGTGCTCAGGCCCCAGTTCTCAGGTAAGCAATTCCCTTCCTTATCCAAATAACCTCTTGTCAATCAGACATGTATTTCATGTATCTGTCATCATGCTTCCACTTGTGAGATTTATTCAACTATTCTAATTTAACTCACCACAACATTTATTCATCTATGTAAAAATTTTCTTTAAAAAGAGACTGAGCCAATGTTTTATTTTAAAAGGTCATTTAGATTAGCGTAAGTCTTAGACTACTCTGAGTGAGCATTGAGCCTGACTTCTTCAATAATCTGCTCTGGATTCACAAGCATCAAGCATTAGAGAACTGCAAAAATTCTCTGTCTCTCGGGTAATTGTTGAAGGAAGATTACTAGGAAATCAGAGTGACAACTTCACAACATTAATTCCTATTGTGCACAGAGTCATCAAACAAGGAGTCAAAGGGCGCAGGCAGCAGAGGATGAGGCTGTGCTGCCCACTAGCTGTGGAGATGAGCACACTGTACTTAAACGCAGGATGAAGGCCTTCCACTCCTCCACAACAGAACTGAAAAGGCAGCAGGTGAGCGCCATGGAGCTGTCATGCTGGCCAGTGAGGGATCTGGTGTGGAAAGAACCAACCACATTCTGAAGAGATGCTGAACTCAGAAGTCACTTGTGAAAGCACACCAACTGTGGCTTTCCCGTGGATCTGTGATGGTTTAGAGACATGAGAACAGGCTCGAATAGGGCCCTTAAATAGCAGCTTCCAAACACCACTGCAAGCCATGTGACAGTATGAAACTCGTCTCATCAGTGTCAATGAAATTTTCACAAATTTTTAAATCTTTCATTTTAGTAACATGAGAAAGTTTCAAATCATGAAATATTAAATAAAAGTTCAAAACACTCAAATGAGCTTTAAAAAGCATTTTTGGATGAAATGTAGAATGCATGTATGTCAACACTGACTGCCTATACATGGAGAACATGTCTGTCTGTAGTAGCTGCCTGCACATGGAGAACATGTGTATCTGTGGCAGTGGCCTGCACATGGAGAACATGTGTGTCTGTAGTAGCTACTTGCACATGGAGAACATGTGTGTCTATAGCAGTTGCCTGCACATGGAGAACATGTATGACCACACTGGCTCCCTGTACACTGACAGCTATGAAAGACAGACAGAACGTGATCTGCTGCTGAAAAGAAACACATCATTTCTTCTTGAATAATGCCCTGCTTCTCCTACTAACATTAACTGCGCTCCCTAACTGTTTACCAAATCCCATCTAGATGAACACCTAAAAGAAAAAAATAGACAGAGGAGGAAGAAGAGGAAGAGGAGGAGGAGGAGGAAGAGGAGGAGGAGGAGGAGGAGGAGGAGGAGGAGGAGGAGGAGGAGGAGGAGGAGGAAAGAGAAAGTTCTGCACACTGCGGGTGGCTCCAGGGCTTGAGCCCTGGCATCCCAACTCTTAATCCAGAGATTTTCCTGCAAGACTATACTGGCTCCATAAAAATAACTGGGTTATAAAATATTTCAATAAAATGAGCACACATTGGAAAGGACAGAGGAAAAGACAGCATTTACAGCTAACAATGGCACTTCCAGAATGCCGCTCGAGCCTGAGAGAACACTGTGACAGCACACAAGTGTCATCGCATGTGGGAACAGCTGTGACAGCGTCTGACTCCCATTTCTCAGTGCACCAGCATTTTCTAAAGATGTGCCCTCGGCCCCATCCATGGCTGACAATCTCGCAAACGCTCCCTGATGCTTCACCAGCCATGATAAATCACCCAGAGTCAACCATTCCCACGGTGGCGAGTTCGAAGCTTCAGTGGCAATCTACCTCAATGTCTAGATGGATGATATTTCTACATTTTCCTTGATTTCAATCTCTGCTTCAGAGTTACATCGAAGTGATTTGGAATAGGTCCTGTGGGTAGGGGCCAATAGCTCAGTTGGTAAACTGTTTACCTTGACAATACAGGACCAGAATTTATTCACCGGGACCCACTTTTAAAAATCTGGGCAATGGTGGCATGCATTTGTAATCCCAGGGCTAGGAAAGCCAATCTGACGCTGACTGGCCAGCCAACACAGCCTACTTGACAAGTTCCAGGCCAATGAAAAACCTTGTCCCCCACGAAAAAAAAAAAGTGAACAGGTCCAAATATGAGACATATGAGGTTGTCCTCTGGCCTCTAGATACGTATGCACATGCACCAGCACACAAGATACACGCAGAAAGAACAGATCGAGAAAACAACAAAAGTAAACATACTTTTCTAACTGTTCACTGTTACCCTGAGTTAACAACAGAAAGCACCTACCTCAAAGCCACCAAAGTCATCGTCATCCATTCTTTGGGAAGCACCTGAAACACAGAACAGCTGAGATGAGCCACCTGCATTAAAACACGCCCTTGACTTAAAGGAGAATAGTTGTAAATTAAAACTACTCCATCCGGATTATGAAATTATTAGGCTTTCTTAAACTGTATGTGTCCATTTTTATCATTTAAAAAAAACAGCTGGTAATTGGTTTTTACTTTCTGACAAAATTAGCAATTTCTGTAAATTTTTCAGTGACCATGTATTTTGCCATTTTCTGTTGAGACTCCAGGAATGGAAAAATATTCTTTTACATTTTAATTTGCTTTTCCCAAAGTGGCGCTAGGGCCCCATCAGTAATGCTTCCTGCTTTCCGCATCTACTCCTCAGCTGTCTGGCAACATCAGCACAAACTCCAGCTAAGAACAGGACTGTGGTGAATTTTTGGAAATCTGTCCCCACCACAAAGGTTCTTCCCTTGGTTTCATGGCCGGGCTGAGTTAGATTTTCAAAATTGATCAGCATTTTTGAGCTGTGGCCACGACTTCTGGAGCATTTGATATGTGTATTTTTAGCTAAAACTGCTTTGCACTTTTGGAAAAATGTGGAGCAAGTTACTGGGCTGATCAAGGTAAATCAAGCTGTGTGTTCATGAGACAAGGCAAAAACATGAGAACATCCAGGTTTGCTCACGCCCTCACTCTCAAGGTAGGAGAGAGACAAGCTTCGGTGGGGCATGCACCGTGTCATGGCCTCAGCACCTAAAACTAAAGCAGCAAGGAAGGAACAGCCTGGGAAGGGGCAGGGGCAGGGGCAGCAGTGGTGTGTGTTAAGCTTCTCTCCCTGCAGCTGAGGACAGGAAAGTGGAAGCCCCACATACAGTGGAGCAGCCCTGGCTCTAGTTTTCTAACAGTCATGTTCCATGTCTTGAGAAACACACAGCAACACCTCCATCAAGAAAACGCCACACACTTCACAAAAGTAACAGCAAAGAAAAGCACGAATCACAGACTGCTTTCACTGGGCCAAGCAAATTTATTTGCACAAAAAAGTAGAAGGTACAAAGAATGTGTGTGGATAGAAATAAGATCAGTTTATAAATAGCACTGAGCTACTAGAACTGCTAACGCAGAAGGTCTGTCACCGCTCGCTCAGTCTGGTGACACTCCTCAAAAGATGTACTTCTGTTTACAAATTTAGAAATTAAAGCTAAGCTAGCCATCTCTATGAAGCTACTTATATTTTATAGAAAATATAAACTATACTTCCAGGAACTATCGACGGTGGTTATTTGGAAATGAAGTCGCATTCATCGTGTCTTGACTGAAGAGAATTCTGCTATGATTACATCTGTTGGGAAGAAACTATGAGGAAAGACACTATGTATCCTAAAACTCACAGTCAAGCTGTAAACACCACGCTGCCCTTCCACATGGGTACCACAACCTCCAGTCCCAATTACTATTTTTAGCATCTGTGAACCCCACTGTACTCTGTGCATGGTGTCCGTTTCAAAGGCATAGAGTTTTCGGAGTTCAGTCTCCCATGCTTTCACAAGGCACATCCTGACACAGGTTGGGGAGGGTGCCAGCAAGCAGACAACACAAGCACACAGCGTGTCTGCCTGTGGTAAGAAAGCAGATGCCTAAGTTCTGATTGAGCTGTGCAAAACAGCAGAGTGGTGACCACCGATGCTCTAGGTTCCAGCAAGTCCTACAACCGAGTAAGACACAGCAGAGCTCCTCTTCCATGGTGTCAAAAGATAAATGTGTCCTGGATGGCTTAAGAGATGGTGCTTCAGAAATGTTATTTTAAAGCCTTTCTACAAATAATTTAGATTCGAATCCTATGATAGTTTCCTTCTACATACTTAAGAGACAAAAAGACAACAGATGTCTTTGCTGCTGATTGTATGTACACTTTTGGGGAGAATGTGGTTTTTTGTTTTTGTTTTTTTGAAATAGGGTTTCACTATGTAGCCCTGGCTGGCCTGGAACTTGTCTTCAAATTCACAGAGATCTTTCTGCCTCTGCTTCCTGAGTGCTGGAATTAAAGGCTTAAGCCACCATGCATGACCTCAACAGCACTGGGATTTTTTATAACTTAATGTTACAGGGGCCTAGCCGGGCAGTGGTGGCGCACACTTTTAATCCCAGCACTTGGGAGGCAGAGGCAGGCAGATTTTTGAGTTCGAAGCCAGCCTGGTCTACAGAGTGAGTTCCATGACACCCAGGGCTACACAGAGAAACCCTGTTTCGAAACAAACAAACAAACAAACAAAAAAGAATGTTACAGGGGCCAGAGAATGGCTCAGTAGATAAAGCATTTGCCACACAAGTATATGAACCATTGTTTACAGCCCCAGAATCCACATAGAAACCCAACAGATATAAAAATCCTTCTGTAGTCCCAAAACTTGGGAGCAGAGGGTGCCCTGAGGCAAGGTGGCCAGCCAGACTAGTCAGAATCACCCAGCTCTGGGTTCGCCTCCAAAACTACAGAGTGATCAAACATGATGCCAGCATTTGCTTTAGGCCTCCATATCCCTCCATCCACCTAAACACGCAAACACGCAGCCACAACACACAAACATACAAAAAGAAAATTAACTTACAACATTCAAAAGCTGAAATTTAACTACTAAAAAGGAACTACTACAAAGGTGGCTTCCTAATGGACTCTCACTTGAAAACACTTGAATCTTGGCTGTACCTAAGGTGATTCTGATAAGGCTTTGTGGAGCATTTCTGCAATTTTGTGTTACAGCCATGAGATTTGCATCGGTTACCAGGATGTGCCAACACAGTGTAGCAACTAAGTCACAAAGCGAGGAGACGCGGGAAGGGTGGGACTATCCACTCAGAGCTACATTCTGCTAGCTTAGGGATCCAGACTAAAGCTTTTCATAGTACCTAGGTTCAACAGTCCCAGGCCTCCTTATGTAAACTAGCCTGCCTGGTTGCTTTTTTATTTTATCTCCCTACTCTGCCATCCTCAGTACTGACAACAGTGCTGGCTGGAGAAAACTGGAAGAGCAAGTGTGACATGGACATGGGGAGTGTGACACACCGTCGGGAGCCACTCCACAGCTGCCAGTCTCTGTCCTCCAGATGCAGGTCTGCTGTGGTGTGGAAGAAAGCACACAAATGCAAACAAAGTGAGAACTCCTGAGGAGAGAACTATCCAGTGTTGGGGGAATGACTCCAAAGGGGACCTATCTAGTGGGAATACCAGGGCATACTTCAAATACAGGGGACCTTTGAGACAGACCAAAGGGACTAGGCAGAAATCTTACATTTTAAATTTTAGTTTAAGTTTTGAACATATATTTTAAAGTTTCCACTGAAAAGTCTTCTTAAAATGACAAAAAAAAAGTTAGATTAAAATTCTTCTACTTGCTCCTGAACACAAACAAGGTTTAAAAAAATAATAATAAGGTAAAGGAGAAAAGTACAAAGCAACTGTGGGGATACATGAGTGAAGGAAGCTCAGCCCACTTCCCTCCCGGAATCCATGGAAGGCTCAAGAATGGGCGACTAGCAGTTGTGTAAAGGTGAGACTAAAAGTCCAACCAGAGTCAGGACTGTACCCCAATTCCCTCCCAACACCCACACAGCCAATCACTTCCAGCTCTTTGGCCCATGACAGAATATCTGAGAGCAGGGAACACAGCCCATGGAGCAGGGAGCACTACCCACGGAGCATGGAGCACAGCCCACGGAGCAGGGAGCACCACCCATGGATCAGGGAGAACTGCCCAATTTCACCATTGCAGCCGAGTAAACTCCAGCTCAAGTGAGACTGTTCCTTTTGCTTGTCTGGGCTCTCGGGTACTACTCCGATAGACAGTACCCAGATGCACTGTGTTTCCCATTAGCTCCTGAGTTCATTAAGGAACAGACTGGCATAAAGGCTAAAAGGAAGGAAGAGTGGTATCCAGCTGCCTGGGTTCAAATTCCAGGTCTGACATGTACTATGTTACAGTGGACAGGTAACCTAAACATTTTTGTTACTCTAGAGCTCACTCAAGAGAGTAAATATGCTAAAACAGAAATAAAATGCTTGGAATAGCAGCCTGTCCCTATATACATTTACCGTCAGTGCCTTCGTCTCACAGACTGTGGTGTTTTGAATGGAAATAGTCTACGTAGGCTCACAGGGAGGGGACAACTAGGAGGTGTGGCCTTATTGAACTAAGTGTGTCACCAGGGGTGGGCTTTAAGGTTTCAAAAGCTCAAGCCAGGCCCAGGGTCACTCTTCCTTCCAGGTGCCCAAGGATCCAAAAGTACAACTCTCAGCCCTAGTCCAGCACACCACCATGCTTTCCGCCATGACCAGAATGAACTAAAAATCTGCACTGTAAGCCAGCCCCCAGTTAAATATGTTCTTATAAAGGAAACTCTTATACAGGCACCTCTTATTAAGGAGTTCCCATGGTCATGGTGTCTCTTCACAGCAGGAAAAACCCTAAGACACTTATGAACAGGATTCCCAGGATACTTGGGAGTAACAGCTAGGACATAGAGACCAGACAACCACGCCACAAACGGTGGAAGAAAGAGCAAGTCCTAAACACACACAGTATCCTCGGAGGGCTAACAGCAGGATGTATACCACTGAACTAACAACAGGACATCCTAAGCTTATGAGGGAAGAGAGGAAGAGGGAGAAGGAAAGACTGGAAGGCCTTGGACATTTAAATTATGACTGATGAAATAAAGAATCATAGGATGGAAAATAAGGGGAAACTTTCTTAAATGAAGAATATACAAGGAAACGGAAAATGAGTGAAATATAAGAAAGTTTCAGATCAAGCTACACAATATCTAATCACTAGGAATTCTATGAAGAACATAGAGAACTCAGAAATCACCAGCAAACTAATTCAAAAGAAAAAAATAAAAAAACCCTTTCTTTTATAAGACTACAGTGGGCCTCCAGACAGTGAGGCAGGCTTCATCCAAGCAGGAAGACTTCATGCAGCAGACTCGGGAAGGCCGAGGGCACTGGGGAGGGGCTTCTGAAACTCAGAGGGAAAATGTCGTGCACCACAGAATCCTACAGCCAGCCAGAGGAATAACGCATTGAGTTCAGGAAAGAGTAAAGTCATATCCACACCCACGAGGTCTCAACACAAGCTCTTATTCCACAGTTTCTCCTTCTTACAAATGTTTTGTGGAGCTGGGAATGAGCCAATGGCAGAATGTGGCCTAGCACGCACAAGGCCCTGGGTTCCCGGTTCAAAACCCCCACAAAAAGACAAAAAAAAAAGAAAAAAAAAAACAATTGTGTAAGACAAGAAAGAAGACATGAGAATGGAAAATCTATCTCTCAGATAGGTAAACTGTCTCCATGTTAGGAAGGACCAGGAAGACTAGATACAGTCAGAAAGCTTCTAGGAGACATGTTCGAGGGAATGAAATTAACAGACCTTCATGGCTCATGAGTGGAATTTTCAACCCTGAGAGATGCTTAAAGCTGCATCAGTGGATACAAAGCCAACAGAAAACAGAATCAACACACTGGACAAGAAAAGTAAACACCCCACTTCTGTCCTGAATACTAACTGCAATAATGCAAACACTGATAGCTGAACCAAAATCCCCATGTGACCATGGAGAACGTAGGCAGAAGCTGGGGAAGGAGGGTCACAGCCTCTTCCCTGTTAGAAAGCACAGGTCTTCAGTGGGAAAATCACAACACAGCAACCATAAGCATGGGGTTTAGATACACTCATCTCAACACCTGACTCTGGAAACATGGCACAAAACCCAGATGGCTGTTGATTCACAAAGAAATACCTTTTACAACTTTAAATTAAGGGCAGAAAAGCAAACTGTTACTATCCAATCTACCTAGTATTTCCATCAAAATATTAGCAAAGTCAAAGCAAGTTTGTTCTCTTAGAAACTAAAGACAAGCATAAATGCTTTAAAATAGCCTTTTACCAGTGAATAAACTGGATTTTTTTATGTTCCCATGCTACAGTTTCCCACATGGCAAGTATTTACACACAAATAAACTATGTCTCTGACATCAAAGCTGCTCAAAAGCAAAGCAGACAACCAGAAAGCCGATCAGAGAAAGAGCCTTCAGAAAAGGACCTGTCTCAGCTCTGCAGAACACGGGTCACTGAGCACCAAACGAAGTCACTGGAAAAGGCTGGCCACCTGCCTCCCTGGCCACACCCCTCCCTGGCCACACCCCCTCCATGGCCACACTCCTCAGTGGGTACCCACCTCATTGGCCACCGGCCTCATTGGCCACACCCCTGCCTTGCCAACTCTGAGAACCAGTTTTTCTCTTTGGTACTTACTGAGTTTCCAGTGAATACAAGTGCAGAAGAAGAAGCACTAATGAACATGATCACGACAGGGCCTATGGTGTTACAAGTCTCTCATGTGAGATCAGAATCGTCGTCTCTGCTAGAGACACTCTTGTCCTATTTCTGTACGAAACCTGAGGTAGTGCAGCGAGAGCAGGTCATGGCCTTTACTTATCACCTTACACTGAGCAGTTCCTAGACTCTTAATTCAAAGAATATTTTTAATTGATGCTTTTGGAATCATGACTGATGAGGCAAAACAGACAAAGGTCTTCTAGGCCCTTTTCAGTCTCAGCTCCAAATCTCCCAGTGAAATGTCTGACCTGCACCTCTGTGCATCAAGGAGAGAAAGATTCTGCATAATGCCAGTGCTGATGATTAAAAGCAAAAATACATGCCAACGTGTGATGTTAAAGGCCTCTATGGGTCACAGCGACAGACAGATGAATGCCTTTCCACAACCAACAGAAAACTCAGTGCTAAGGACTTCCCCCATCCCCCCTTCACCCACAGTCTCCCATTCCTGCAAGAATGAACCATTACCCATTCGTTCTTCATCCACCTCCAACAAGCACACAGCTTGATTTCAGCCACTTTCAATGACATTTAAGTTTGTGTAGATGTATGTGCAGAGACAGGACACTCAGTAGGCAACGCGAGCACCAGTACTGGAGCAGTAGCACCAGTCCAAATTGTCAACTCTGTGTATTGTAAGCATCTTCTGAATTATAAGCTAGGTTTTTACATTTTTAGGGCAGCTTTTGATGAACAAATTCTTTTTTAATAATCAATTTTAGCCATTTAAAATCTTTTTGGTCTTGTGCATTTTTAGATATGTACCTGTACTTACTACAAAGTACAAAGGAAGCTAACATTTTTAGACATTAAAGCTAACTACAGCTTATTATTTACATGTAGTGAAACTGAAGATCTAATATGGATGTTTTTCCTCATTTCTTTTATTATAAACTAACATCTTTCTTCATTAACATGTTACCATCTTTATCATATCACATTTATTTTGGAACATGAATATGTGTGTGCATTTCTAGCTGCACAGTAATTTTGATGGACGTGATACCAATGTGGCACTGAGCAGTCCTATCCTGAGACTGGCACGGGTCTCTAAGGAATACATCACGGCTTACAAGCGCCGTTTGTTATTCTCCCTAAAGGACTTGCGTGCATCTCCAGTCAGGTTTACTCCTGACGCTCTTCAGTGCCAGTGTCTCCTCTTACATTATCTAGCAAACTGTTTTACCTCCACCTTTCTTGGGTAATAATTTATCTCTACATTCTTTCATGCTAATTTTATATGCAGACAATCATTTTTGCCTCCAAACAGCACGTTTTTTTTTCCCCAGTTTCAGCTCCTACCACCTCAGGTTCTGTTCCTCTTGTCAATGTACATGGGCCATGCTCTGATACCATGTGGCAGGCTGTACTTGCTGAAGACAGTCTCATGTGACCTTCTAAAAATGGACACCAGCACCGTCCTCTCTCCTGACCCTGGCCACTTTGACCAGTTGGAGGACAACCAAGCACCACCATGTGTGGGAACGCAGTCTCCTCTGGCGTCTGTTCCACATCTCTTGCCTCTGGAATACAGATGCCAGGATACAGAAAGACCACACAAGCCTACACAGAGACCATTTGGAGAAGTTTGCCGACTGATTGCCAACCACTGGCATCAGATCACTAGACTTGAATGACCGAACATAATTTCGGATGATTCCAGACGATACCAAGCCACCTCCAGGGACAGATCACCTGATCTGAGGATTGAAAGGCTGAACACATTTTTTATAGCCAACTCCCTGACTTCGGAATCCTTGGTAGGGGAATGCTCTTTACACCATAGTAACTTGGGTGTGACTTTACCATTCCTTGTTACAGGGAATCTTCTAACATTTCCCCATATAGGAAGGAGGCCTGCTGACAACAGTTTCATTGGTTCCTAAGAATAACAGGGGTATCTACTTCCTTCACTTGCTAAACATCATCACCAGGATTTCACGCTGCTTATCAAGTGAGACTGCCACATAGCTGTCCTTTAAGCTTATATCACTTAGGAGTTATGGGTTGTGTGACATAGCTATCCTGGTACACCTAGGATGACCTGTCTGGTAACAGAACTGTCCTCAAGAGCTCCAGACTCCACGGAACCAGGAAGCATCTGCAGTTTCCATTTCTCATGGTGTCTTCATGGGGTTTGCATATCAGGTTTGAGCTGGGCTCTCAGAACTGGCTAGAAAATATTCCTCTTTTTCTGTTAATGAAAAGAGATTGCATCAGAATGGAATAATCTATTTCTTACAATTTTGGTTAAAAAAAAAAACTTTGGCTTAGCAAATCATGGGAGCTTGTTGCTTGCTTTGTGGGAAGATTCAATTTCTGGTAATTATAGGACAATTGAGACTTTTAATTTCTCCAGAAGTTTCTAAAAAACTATTTTAAAGGGTTGGCACACAATTAACAACATTATTCTTGATAGCAATTTTAATGACTGATTCTTCTGCCATTCAATTCTTTTTATTTTATATAAATTGAGCAATATGTTATTTAAATCTTCTATATTCTATGGGACTCTGCTTTGTTTTGTTTGTTGTCTATTCACAAAGGTGAGCAGAAATCTGCCACAGTAATAGCAAAGTCAACAGCTTCTCCATAAGGGTTCTACAGAGTTAGGGAAGGGACACATTCTAGTTTATACTGGAAAGCAAATAAACAACGGGGAGTGACGGTGAAGAAGGTGAGTATGAGCAGGGTTTCCTTACCTGTTTCTAGTTCTTTAATGTGACCAGTGAGTCTGTTTTAATGTGAGCAGAACACCAGTCATCTGAAAGAAGAAATGTATACTCATTTCATGACATAAATTATCTTGAGCTTTAAATAATAGTGATGGGAAGGGCTGGGGGGGATGGCTCTGGTTAAGAGCACTAGCTGCTCTCAGAGATCCAGGTTCAGTTCCCAACACCCACATGATGGCTCACAACTGCCTGTAGCTCCAGATCCCAGCAATCCAACATCCTCTCCTGTAATGAAGCAGCACTCAGTGTTTATATTCAGGGTTTGTGTGTGTGTGCTCACACATACATATGGGTACAACAGTACAAGTGTGGAGGTCAGAAGGAACAGACAGTACAGGAGCTGTTTCTCCCCCTCCACCATGTTAGTTCTAAGGATCAAAGTCACCAGCAAGCACCTTTACCTTCTTGCCAGCCCAAAAAAACATTTTAATGTAAGCAATTTGAAAATGCAATGAAATGAGAGATAGCATGCAAAAGGGATAACAAGAAAGAGAAGAAAACTAAGAAAGAGCAAAATAAAAACTGTCAGTGATTCCAAAATGTAAAAGAAATCATTATGGAGCCGTCTGTAAAGCTTACACAGTGGGGAAAAAAGTAAACACAGTAACTCAGTTTATCAAAACTGAAGCACACACATACAAAAGCTGCACACACACTTGCTCAAACTGGCAAAGGCACATACACATGCATACAAGAGATGCACACACACACACACACAGAAACACAGACACACACACATACATATGTTCACACAGGTGAAAGTACACACACATGCAAGAGATATACACACACACACATACACACATCATATATACATACAAGCTCATACAAGCAAAGGCACTCATACATGCATATATGAAATGTGCACACATATACATGTGTACATGCATGCTCATACAGGCAAAGGCACACATGCATGCATGTGCACACATGCATACAAGAGATGGACACACGAACACACATGCTCATACAGGTGAAGGCATGCACGAATGCATATAAGAGATGTTCACAAATACACATGTGTACACACATGCTGACACATGCACACAAACACAGACACACTTAAAGGGAGAAAAAGAAAACAAAAAGCATATACTCTCCTGGGCTTCTAAACACTGCCAGAAAATCAACCATGCTGTAATTAAAATTCCAAAAAGAGAAGGCATTGAGAATGGGATGAAGAAATGGCTGAAAATCAGACTGCCAAAACCCTCTCAGGACTAATAACCAAGTACAAACCAAGGACAGCCAGACAACCCAACAAAATAAACACTGCACACTCTCATCAGCCTAGCACAACACAATGAACCCAAACAGCACAGCATGAGGGGGTCAGGGAGGGCCGGGAGATGTCCACACCTCCCCAAACAGGGTCTCCCTCTCATCCCATCCCCCTCCAGAAACATTTCTGTTACTTAATCCTCACACATTTGTGCAGATTTCAAGAGTAAAAATGTTAAACATAAAATGAGTGAATAAATGACACAAGTTAAACTCTCCTGGAATTGCCTGGTTGGTGCCAACCTCTGGACTTGAGGTGTGCATCATTAGGCTAACCAGCCCAGAGAATTTTGAATCCAAATATGAACACTGGACACATACCTGAGGCATAATTACAACTGTCTTACCACATTCTTCCCACACCAAAAAAAAAAAAAAAAAAAGCGTGGAGTTGCCGACCCACATATAACAGTTTCCTAAATTTCTCTTTCAATGTTGCCAACACTTTGTCCCATTTTATTGTCAAAATAATGCAGAAACACTTCACCATAATCCTGCCTTTCTGTCTGCATTTTATCCTGTTTCCTTCTAGCACACAGAAATACATTCAGACTGCACATGCCACTTTAAATTGATTTTACATCCACTGTATTACAAACTACAGTGCTAAGTTCCTAATGACCTCATATTGGCACTCTGATGGCTCCATTACCAACCAATACTCTACCAATATGAAAATTTAGTTATGTGCTAATTTTTAAATATCTAAGACATCTTCATACATTAGTGGCTTTCTTCCTCTTCTTCTTTTAGGTTATAAATACCATGTAAACTCCCAGATATAAACCAATTAACCCCAAAAGTATGGACTGCCTGATGGATCACGTGACTAAGTTTCTAAGAGATCTATACTTTGTTACCATAGAATTATAAGTCCTTTATCAAATGCACCAATGTTCACTTGTACTTTAGAATAGAGTTATGAGCTGGGAAGAGAAGAAGTGGGGCCTCCCCAACCCAGAGCACAAGTGGTCATCCACTGCAAACAGTCAGCACTAAAAGCATACACACACGCAATATTAAACAGAATAAGCAGCTTATATTTAGGGGGTGTGTATGTGGAGGGGGTGTGTATGTATATGTGGAGGCGTATGTAAATGCGTGCAAAAACAGTTGATGAAAAAGGAGGTCATGACTTTGAAACAGAGTGGACAGGGCTACAAGGGAGGCTTTGGCAGGAGGAAAGGGAAGACAGAAATGTTGTAATTATATGATAACCTCAAAAAAAAATTTTAAAATGTCATACCTATGACTGGGCACTGGGCAGTTGGTTCCACTAGTAAAGTATGTGCTGCACAAGCAGGAGGGCCTGAGTGTGGGTCCCAGCAACCCACGTGTATGTAAGACCTGCGCGAGAGCACATCCGTGCCTCCTGCGCTGCGGGGCATGAGGACAGATGAATCCCTGCAGCTCACTGGCTAGTTAGTCTAGCCAAATCACCAGCTCCAGGTTCACTGACAAACCCAGCCTCAAAAGGTAAGAGTGACAGATGAATGAGGAAGACACCCAGTATCAACTTCTGACCTCACATGTACGCATGCACACACATGCCAACGCATACAGGGGGCTTCTATACATTTGTCCACGTACAAAATGAACAGGTTTTTAAGGCAGTTTTCTGTATTGCTACAAAACACACGTCCCTCTTCATAGTCACATAGTAACACACAACACACTCATACACATACATACATACACACACACACACACACACACACACACACATTAGCTTTATCACTGAAGGGTTTTATGGTCTTGCTAATGATAGCTAAGAATGCATTATGTAGATCTACAATACATACATATTTCCTTGATAATTCCCCTACTGGCAGACACAAATTGTGTGTTCAGTTATCTGTTATTATAAACAGAAACCCGTCCATGCTGAGTATGTTTCTATGGGCTGAATTCCAAAGAATGGAAGTGCTAAGTCAACTGGCATATGTATTTTTAATTTTTATAGCTAGTGTCATATCACCTTCCAAGGGGTTTGACTAGTCCACATTTCCAACAGCAAAATATAAAAATAACCTCCCTCATCAGTTTCTGCCTCCAGAATGTCGCTGTCCCTCCTCTTCACCACCCTACCCCCTTTCCTGGAAGTCCATACCACTAACTAGTGAGCTGGATGCCTTTATGTCTTCTCCTGCTGCTAGGTTCTCAGTGCCTTTGCTCATTTTCCTCTACTCTGTATCAATATACAAGCAACTATGAAACACAACAGATACCAAATCTGTCTTTTCTTCACACTGAAAGTATTTTTGCCATATACACTGTTTGTATTCATTACTCAAAAGTTAAGCTCCACAAAAATATCTTTCTGTACCCACAGCCTGCTCACCAAAGTGGCTAAGATCTCTCTCACGAAGAGTGTACATGTGATCTGTGCATTCAGCATGTTGGTTTTACTAAGTCTCTCTGTGTGGAAATGATGTCCAATCCAATCTGACTTTCTACCAAATCTACAGCTGGTCCAGAAGGAGAGTGAGTGAATGAGTGGGTGGGTGAGTGGGTGAGTGGGTGGGTGAGTGATCTGATGAGTGAGTGAGCTGATGAGTGAGTGGGTGGGTGGGTGAGTGGGTGGGTGGGTGAGTGGGTGAGTGAGTGAGTTGATGAGTGAGTGGGTGGGTGAGTGGGTAGGTGTGTGGGTGGGTGAGTGGGTGAGTTGATGAGAGAGTGGGTGGGTGAGTGGTTGGGTGGGTGAGTGGGTGAGTGAGTGAGTGGGTGGGTGAGTGGGTAGGTGAGTGGGTGAGTGAATGGGTGAGTGGATGAGTGGGTGAGTTGATGAGTGAGTAGGTAAGTGGATAAGTGAGTGAGTGAGTGGGTGAGTGTGTTTCTGTGTGTGTTGTGTGTCTGTATGTGCCTGTGGTATGTGTGTGTGTATGTGTGTGTGTCCATGTGGTGATTCTCTCAAACTGGGCCTCCACATGCATATCCCTGCTCTATACAGATGGTATGTGTTTCAAGACCCTTTGTCTGGTCCCTGACCTCACTCTCTTCAAAGCTATGTTGGTTAGATTTTGTCAGAAAGCTCAGGTCATCTGGGAAGACAGAAACAGAACTGAGACAATGTCTGTATCAAACTGGCCTATCCTCATGCCTTGAGTAATCCTTGATGTGAGAGGGCCCAGTCCATGGTGGCGATGCTACCCGATGGCAGGTTTCCTGGGTTCTCTAACAGAAGTAACAGAGAAACCCATGGGGAGAAAGTCAGTGAGCAGCCATCCTCCATGGCCTCTGCTTCAGTTCCTGCCTCCATGCTCCTGACCATAAATATTTTAATTTTACATAGCCACTCAAAGAATCTATATTTTATATACTTACATATTTACTTATACATTACAGAGTAATATATTATTTCGTATCTTATATAAAATTAAATAGGAAAACCTCAAGAAGGTAACTTTATATTCAGATATAAAATGCACAAAATGGGAACAAAGGAAACAGCTAGAGAAAATAATTTATGCCTATGAATCATGTAATAGAATAAAAATACATAAGAAACTTAATGAGTCATTTCCAATAACAATGTTTTACAAGTCACTGGAAATAACCATTCTTTGCCTAGAGAGAAGGATCTCTTTTTGGTTATAGCGGAATTCACATCTGAAAGCAATTCCTCTTGGCAGTGTCACAGAAGCAGGTGCCAGTACCAATCACAAGAGAGCATTTTCATTACTGTCGTATTTAAAATATAACCACTGCCAATGTTAATTACATTCTATTGATATTGATTAGTAAAATG